TCACTTACTCTTTCACCGTGAGCGCCCCCTGAAGATGACACAGGTCGCGACAAGGCGTCGAAAATGCAGCGGCGGACAGTTTGACGTGAGAAGCCGATTACTCTTCAAATGTCCGTGCTTGCGACATTTGGGGCCTTCGCCATTCGCTCCACTACCCTGGGCGGAAGCTTCGGATTCTCCCACGCTCGCGGACGCCCAACGGCTGAAGCGTGTGTATAGAGTGTAGAGCTTTGTCCCGCGAGTCTTTGACACATTTTCGGTTGTCGTTGAGCGTCACATGCGTCACGATCCGCCGACCCTGGACCGTAAACTCTGGCAGGGCTGCCGATCCACCCGCGCGCTGAAGAGCTTCCAGCTTCCAGCGACTCCAGATAAGCTAGGCTATGCAGTGAGGCAGGGCAAGGCCACTGCCCTCCACATGTTCACAGCACTCTAAGCCACGAGCCCTGATTGTGACCCATGGCCGAAGAGAGAAAGGCATGCATCTCGTCCCGGTCGAAGAGCAGCGTGGGGTAGGCGATCTTCATCTCATATCCGTTGGGGTCGATATAGTACACCATGGCGGAGTCGGTGAAGCCATCCGTGTTGCTTGCTGAGGACTGCCGGGCACCACGTGCAGCGGCGGCCAGATGGTCGCAACCGGCCTTGGGTTTCATGATGTTGCTGGCCGTTCCTTGCGTGCAGGGAAAATAGACTTCAAGACGCACCTCTCTCTCTCTCTCTCCCAGCGTTTGAGTTGACCCGACCCTCAACCACTACCCAAGCATCACCCGATTTGTGCGCATTCAGCGCGCTGCTGAGTCTCTTGATGAGGGTGGCTTCGTCCAGGTCCTCCCTTCTCTTGTCACAGTCACCTGCCAGAAACAAATCTTTGATGTCCGCTGCCAAGCTATCAGTCGTGCCCAGGGCTTCCCCCCTCCACCCGTCCACAGCCGGCTTTCGACAAGAATTACGGCTGTCATGGACGAACAGATGAGATGCTTCGATCTTCTCCGGGTCTCTCGTTCTTGGTGATGCTCCACAAGATCCGGCAAGGGCCTGATTTCGGGGCCAGCATAACCTGCGTGGGAAGACAGACCAGCAGGCTTTAGTTGCACCTGCTCTGAACCAAGACACGCCGCTCAGACTGTAGAGGGGCTCGTGCCTCGAGCAAGGGGTCTGCAATGCCTGTTGATGTAGCTGCAGGGCGTCAGGCGGAAACCGTGGCTCATTTTCGAATTGATGGTGTCACCAAGACTGCTCGACATCGGCACGCCTGCTTGTAGGACTAAGCTGCAAGCAGCTAATCATTGAGACCCCAAAACGTGCCGTATCCTCCAAGTAGACCGCTGTCCGCAGCTCCAACAATACATCCCTGCTTAGACAACTCATTGCCTTGATCAATCAGAACGATAAGCAGTCATATGCCAGCGAGGAAAACCCTGTGATGTGCGGCCTTCTGCTCTCATCTTCTCCTCCTGGGGCTCCGCCTTAGGCGGGTGCAGCTGTGAGGAACAGATGAGATGCTTCGATCTTCTCCGCGTCTCTCCTCCTTGGTGACGCTCCACAAGATCCGACAGGAACCTGATCTCAGGGAAGCAAACCCTCTTTGAAAAGACAGACAAGCAGGCTCTAGTTGCGCCTGCTCTGAACCCCAAGGCACGCCGCTCAGACTGTCAAGTGGCTCGTGCCTCGAGGAGCTGCAAGGGTCTCGTTTGCCTGTTGATGTAAAGCAATTCATTGCCTTGATCAGCGTCCATCCTCAGAACGACAGGCAGTCATATATCAGCGAGGGAAACCCGGTGATGTGCGGCCTTCTCCTCTCATCTTCTCCACCTGGAGTGCCGCCTTAGGAGGGTGAAGCTGTGAGGAATGAGGAACAGATGAGATGCTTCGATCTTCTCCGGGTCTCTCGTTCTTGGTGACGCTCCACAAGACCCGGCAAGGGCCTGATTTCGGGGCCAGCATAACCTCCATGGGAAGACAGACCAGCAGGCTTTAGTTGCACCTGCTCTGAACCAAGACACGCCGCTCAGACTGTCAAGTGGCTCGTGCCTCGAGCAAGGGGTCTGCAATGCCTGTTGATGTAGCTGCAGGGCGTCAGGCGGAAACCGTGGCTCATTTTTGAATTGATGGGGTCACCAAGACTGCTCGACAGAGGCACGCCTGCTTTTAGGACTAAGCTGTAAGCAGCTAATCACTGAGACCCCAAAGCGGGCCGTATCCTCCAAGTAGACCGCTGTCCGCAGCTCCAACAGTGCATCCCTGCTTAAACAACTCATTGCCTTGATCAATCAGAACGATAAGCAGTCATATGCCAGCGAGGAAAACCCTGTGATGTGCGGCCTTCTGCTCTCATCTTCGCCTTAGGCGGGTGCAGCTGTGAGGAACAGATGAGATGCTTGCGTCTCTCCTCCTTGGTGACGTTCCACAAGATCCGACAGGAGCCTGATCTCAGGGAAGCAATGCCCTCCGTGAAAAGACCGACAAGCAGGCTTTAGTTGCGCCTGCTCTGAACCCCAAGGCGCGCCGCTCAGACTGTCAAGTGGCTCGTGCCTCGAGGAGCCTTTGCCTGTTGATGTAGCTGCAGAGCGTGAGGCGGAAGCACGTGGCTCATATTCGAACTGATGGTCTTCGTCGACATCCCCACTCTTGCTTGTAGGACTGATGGTAAGCAGCTCATCACTGAGACCCCAAAAAGGCCCGCATCTGCCAGGTAGACTGTCGTCCACAGCTCCAACAGTGCATCCCTGCTCAAACAATTCACTGCCTTTTTCAACATCCAACCATATCCAACCTCAGAGCAACAGACATTCGTATGCCAGCGAGGGAAGCTCTATGATGTGCGGCCTTCTGCTCTCATCTTCTCCGCTTGGGGTGCCGCCTTAGGAGGGTGCAGCTGTGCGGAACAGATGAGATGCTTCGATCTTCTCCGATTCTCTCTTCCTTGGTGACGCTCCACAAGATCCGACAAGAGCCTGTTTCAGGGCCAGCATAACCTCTGTGGGAAGACAGACCAGCAGGCTTTAGCTGCGCGTGAGGTTCTCACACATGCAGGACTGGGGTCCATGCTCGCAAAGCAGTCGTCTTCCTCCTGCAATCGGGGGATGCTGCCCAGACCGTAGATAGAGTGTGTCTCGTGCCATCTCGTGTCGCTGCAGGAGCTTCCCTTACCTGCTAGTAGCTGCTGAGTGTCAGGCATGTCGCTTCTTTGCACTTTGATGGCAGCACGCCTCTGCTGACCGCACAACTTGGCTGGTCCAGATCCCCGCATGAGCAAGCGCCAAAACCCCCAGCCATTCAAGTAAGTCAGGGGTGGAGACGCATGCCCAAAACCCTGTAAAACGATGGGAACACTTGAAAAGCGACACCCCTAAGTTAATGAGCCGTTGGGTGTGCCATAGCCTTGATTTTTTCCCAAAGCGACACCTGCAAACATCAAGCGTGGATGATTGATGCTAAAACCCTGCAAAACGATGGGAACACTGGAAAGCGACACCCCTCATGTTGCGTCCATTAGCACCACCACCCGGTTTTGGCAGTCGCTCACATGGCCGCCAGCATGGGCATCTAGCCAGCCTCGCTCACCCACGCAACGGTTTTCCGGCAACTTTTGGAACGGTGTGTGCTGCGTCGGGGGGGGGGGAGGGGGGGGTTCTCAGTTGTGGTTCAAGGTGTGGTTCGACCCTTCGGGGTCTGAGCTCTGTACCCAACATCAATGGCCCAAGCCATGCGGAAGGCCAGAATATGCACTGCAGTTTGCGTATCTGCACCGTGTCAAAGGGCCCAGGGGCCCGTAAAGTCATCTCCTCATGCAAACCCTAAACCCCAAACCCTAAACCGCCTTAATCGCGCAGCGCGTAGCTACCGTGAAAGCAGGCATCAAGTTTCATAGGAGGCAGAACATGACTAGCATGGCACAGGGCATCGGCAGTTGCATGCGCCGCGCCAAAGGGCCCAGGGACCCGTAAAGTCATCTCTTTATGCAAGCTCTAAACCCTAAACCCTAACCCCTGAACCACCTTGATTTGGCAGTTCGTACACAGTTGCCGTGAAAGCAGGCATCAACGTGCATCGGAAGCAGAACAAAGCCGGTCCCCGTCGGCTGTGGCCACCCTGTGGCAGACCATGCGCCCGTGTGCAGTGCACTTCGTAACTTCATGGCGCAGGTACACCGATCATGTGCCACCACGCGTTTTTTGGAAGGGCTCACGCCTGACTTGCTGAGCCTGTCAATCAACACGGCCCTCATGTCTTCGAGAGCACATGACCTGGGTTTGGGAAGGCCTTGTGGCCCGTCGTCGACCCTTCGGCTCGAAAACTGGAAGGCCCAAGGCCTCCACTAAAACTCAAGCGCCAAAGCATGCAAAGCTTTCCCCTAACCCAGAAAGCCTTGAGAAGCCGATGTAAAGTTTTATGGGCTTGCAGTTTTGAGTTTTCAGGGCTTCGTGGAAGGTCCGCCAGCACGCCGAAAGGCCCCAAGCAGGCCGCCGGGAGTTTCGTGAAGCTTGAGTGCGCCAGGTGCCAGACTTCACCCATCGTCGCGCAAGCAGCTGATTCCGCGCTCTGCTGGCCTTGCTGCTCCCTTGAACCCTATAAACTCCAGCATGGCCTGGGGCCGGAGAGGAAGAGCTCAGCTGAGCACAGGGGCTCCAAGGCTTGCGTGGCTTGGAGATTCCAGATCTTTCCCTGAGGATCCCTGAAACGGCACCCTATCCATCCCAAGTCCTGCTTAAGTCTTTCTTAAGGTGGAAGGTTCTTCTGCCCTAACTGCAGTAGCACATAGAGTGTAGATCCCGATTACCATAAGGTCATTGGGGGACCCAGGCTGACTGTCAGCAGCCGGCTGTCCGCGCACCCAGGCTGCGGTCCTGTGGGGGAAGATTCGGGATGCGTGCCTGTTGTGCCTGCCTTCTTTCGGGCCCAGCACACGGGGCTCTGCTCCCAGTAGGGGTCGTCAGGTGGCCAAGACCCCAGAAGGCTTCGGGGGGCCTTGGTCTAGGGGGCTCCAAGCTTGGGGGATGGCCCAAGGCGCCCTTCTCGAGCCCCGCCTGTGACCTGATCTTCCCGGCTCCCTGAACCTGCTGAGGGCGTTGGCAGTCCGAGCGCTTCGGCTCCCAGAGGATTTGGCCTGCGGCTCTTTGATTCTGAAGCTCGGCTCTGGGCGCGTGGTGCGCGGGCACTGGCTGCACAATCTCCACAGGCAGCACAGGCTGGGGCACCGCTCCGGAAGCCGGAGGTGCACGTGCTCTTCGGACGCTCCCCTCACTCCCCTGCAGCCGGCGGCGGTGCCGTGGACTTGGCGCCGGGAGCCGACCTTCCACGCCGCCTTTCCACGCGCCCTGCCCCCCGCATCTTGAGCTTGGGAGAGTCGCCTGAAACCAGGATCGCCTTTCTGAAGTGCAGGGTCGTGAAAGTTCTAGAGGTCCAGGATCTCGGCCGTGACGTGCAGGAGGTCCAAGGCCTGCTCCGGCCAGTCACCTGGGACCTGCGGCGCCTCCTCGGAACTTCGGCGCTGCCCCGAAAAGGGCCTAGGGGAGGAGATGGGCAGGGCGGTTGTGAGAATTCCTTGAGGAAGCTTTGGGGTGGCGGTCATCAGAGAGCCGAAGGTTTTGGGAGGCTGTATGTCTGGTTTGTTTGCGTGAAGACGCAATGGCTTTTCAATTCGGTCAGTTCGAGGATTTCAACCCCAAGCCTTCCAGCCGTAGCGCTTGGTAGCAAAGTGGTACCCTTCCCCTTCTAGGCCGAAGCCAACATTGCCGGACGTCCTGAGGCCCGAAAACGCAGAGGGATGTTGCAAGGAGAGCTTTAAGGCTTTGGTCCTCCCGATTCTTTTGGTGCTCTTAAGCTAGATCCCACCCGCTACGTGCCGAGATCCCGGTTCGGCCCGGGTTGCAGGGGGCTTTCTTGGTTCAGGGTTGGGTTTAGGGTTCGGGGTGGGGGTTTAGGGTTAGAGTATAAGGGTGTGAGTCGCGGATGGACGGCAGTCGATTGCAAGTCATGAGATATTGGGTTGAGAGGTTCGGTCTTTGCTGCAGCCTTTTTCGTCTTGGCTTCATTGAAGAGCAGAGCTTCCTTGATAAGGCCGGTGCCAAAGAGTCCTAATGATTCTGGGTGTGTTTTTTCTCTCATCTCGTGGGCTTGAAGCAATTTACTGAGCAAGTAGGTTGAACTTCGTGCAGTCTTTCGGCCAACCGAGCTGCAAACTGCAAACTCCAAAAACAGCCACTTCCACTCGATGCTCCGGGATGGGCCTGTGCCATGGGAGAAGCGTCCAATTCAGGAAGGCCCGCTGGCTAAGAAGGTCCCAGCAGGGACGTCCGGCCAAGCCCAGTGCCAGTGCGACACAGCTGCGAGCCACGAAGCTTCGGAGGATGACGGCTTGCAAGATCCGGAACATCTCAAGAACTTCTTGATCGAGGCCAACATCCGACTGGTGCGGTTAGAGTACCTTGTCAAGCTGGCAGAGGATGGCCGGGTCTGGCCGCGGCGCCAGGAGGCGGAGCTGGAGGAGTTCGAGGCGGAGGGGGAGATGCGTTCCGCGCTGGTGACGCTGGAGGAGGTCCGGGGTCGGAAGCTGGGCGCGGACGTCCTCGGATGCCCGCCTGGGGGTGCAGTGATCGTCTCCGTGTCGCACACATGGGAGTCGCAACAGCATCCGGACCCCTGGGGCTGGCAGTTGCGTAGCCTCCTGCGGCAGCTTCGCATCGGCTTCGAGGGCTCGAGGGGACTCTGCGAGGTTTCCGAAGTTTGGGGTACCTTTTTGGGGCCTTATTATAAGGGAACCCTACTATTGGGGTCTATTTTTGGGACCTTCTGGGGGTCTTTTTTTTGAGGGAATCCTACCATCGCAAGGCTTCCGACATTGCGGTCTGGGCCTTCATCGACTTTGTGTGCCTGCCCCAGTACAGGCGCAGCGAGGAGGAACAAGAGTTCTTTCAGAGAGCCATGCTGTCGATGCATCTGCTATATGCGCATCACTTCATTCTGGGGGTGTATCGCTTGGATGAGCTGACGCCTGAGAGCGAGAAGTCACAGTCGGGGTTCATTCAGATTTACTGCGAAGCAACCGGCAAGCTAGAGGCACGGCCCTTCAGTGAGCTGGTCCTGAACAGCACGCCCTACTTCCAGCGGGGGTGGTGCGTTGCCGAAGTGCAGTGGATGTGCGCGAAAGACATGCTTTGCGGCTTTTCACCGATGAGACCTGCAGTTTTTCAGGATCGGGTGGCCCGAGGTGAACAAGGACTTTCAGATGGGCTGGCCTTGAAATTCACGCACCGCTCCGACATGAAGGCTGTGGTTGACTTGCAGGAGAAGGTCTTCCTGCAGCATGCCAGGCAACGCACTAAACTTCTTGGCGTCGGACTGCCCCAGCGAGAGCTTGTGATTTTGGCCGATGCCCTTCCGCACTTCAAGAATCTGCAGGACCTCCAGATACTTGGCCCTTCGGAAGGTTTGGGAGGTGGCGTCGTAGAGCTGGCGCGTGCCCTCGAGCACCTTCATTCCGAGAGGCTGGTCGCGGTGGCGTTTCAAGGGAAGGGTATTAGGGATGCCGGTGCCGCAGCTCTGGCAGCGGCTTTTGCGGCTTGCAAGAACCTGTCGGTCATAGACATAGAGAGCGACGACATAGGAGATGCTGGGGCGGAAGCCCTTGCAGCAGCAGTTGCGGGATGCAGGAAGTTGAGGAGGTTTCGGCTCTCCGACTGCTCCAGGATCAGAGATGCTGGCATAGCAGCTCTGGCTTCAGCAAGCTTGATGGCCCCAGACGTAGAGTTCAGGTTCTTAGGACATGTTTCAGACCTGGCGACGAAGTCGCACCACAAGTGGGGCAAAGTAACTCACTCGGATGCCTTTTGAAAATCGTCCTTCGCGTTGGCACATCGTTTGCACGCCAGCCCCGTTGAACTGGGGAGCTGGCCTCCATGAGCGGCTGGACTCTACGATTGAGGGCACGTCCGCGGCGAGGCCCGACCCCCTTCCCCGTGAATCCTAAACCCTGAAGCCCAAACCCTGAATCCTAAGCCCTAAACCGCGCGGTGATTGCAGCTTCAAGCTCTGGGGGGTGCTCTGGGCACTTTGCTCGTTTTCTTTGCGCCATGGCCGCGTTTGCGGCGGGCGATCGTGTCGCCTACCAGAACGAACAGGCAGGAAGCAGGGAGGTGCTGGTGGTGATGGTGGTGGTATGTGGTGTTTATTTTCTTGTGCTCAATGTGTTGAGTGCTGTGGACATAGATGTCCAAGCTGGAGAGCGTGAAAGCGCACAAGCTCCTCCAGGCGGCATTCATGCCACCCCTCAACTCAGCTTGACATCATCCATGCCGTCAAAGCTGGGCAGAAGACCCCCCCCCCCGCATAGCATGTAAACAGTCGTGATAGTGGTAATCTGAATGCAATAATCGCCATAGGTTCTCAAGTGCACAGATTTTTTGTTGGGTTCTGTCAAGCCAAGGCCGCTTGAGACCTTTCCGGGACATCTGGTATTCTGTGTGTATATTTGATATCATCATTATTCCTGTCAATATTTACATTTTTTCAAGATTATAGATACATTGTACATATATACATATATACATATATGTATATGTATAGTATTGCTGAAGATAACAATATTTCTCTACTGCTCTTATATACTATATGCCATTTTTATTGTATTGTCGCATATAGAGGGAGTCCTGTTTTTTTTCTTGCGCTGAGACCCACCTAGCATTTCATTGAAGGTAGAGCCCCAGCATCCCCAAAACTTTACGAGCCCTTCAGGGGAGATTGCTGCATGGCACCGTGCGCTTCGTCGGAACGACCTTTACACCTGGCGAGCTTTGGCATCAAAGGAAGTTCTGGCGGGGTGGTGAACACTTGCCGCGCTGTCTTTGATGATGTGATGATGACGACGTGACGTGGACAGCGACGAGGGCAGTCAGGAGGGCGACGGTGATGAGGACGACGGGCAGGACGAGGATGAGGATAAACACGAAGGAGGGGAGGGGGAGATGTCGGTGACAAGGCGACAGCGACGACGATGCGGCTGCATCGGCTGCTGCTGATGCTATCACCAGTAGTAATCATGCTGCTGCTGCTGATGATGATTGCTGATGATGGCTGCTGAGTCTGAGCGGTTCCTGCTCAGCTAGGCGGGGAGGAAGAGACGCTGACATCGCTAGGCATATGGTTGTCTAATCCTTCAAGGCACCAGGAAGGGGGTGAGCACCGAAGGCTCCGAAACACAATGGCAACAGGATGAGGCTTCTGGCCTCGTCAGCGAGCCTGATGTAGACAGAATCCAAGATGCAGCGCGCAGCTCTGCACCTTTGGAGACACTTCGAGCACATATTGCACCCCAAACGTGACGGAGTGCTGGGATTCCCGAAGATAAGCTGACCTTCTCTGCAGCTTTCGAGACCCCGCGCATGAGATCTCAGGATTGGCTCGGGTTGGAGTTGGATGAGAAGGCAGGCTCAAGTTGCAACAGGGAGAGCTTTCAAGAGGCAGTGAGAAGGAAAATGACGGGAACGGTTTCACTCCGGACCGCCTGCCCTGTTCCATGATGCATGCTAGATTTCGGCATAATTGCAGTGCTACGTCCCTCGACCAGGCAGGCAAAAACGATGGCTCCTTCAGGGGGAAGGCGTACTTTCAGTGTGAGCCAGAGTGCCCCCGGCAGTTCTTTTTTGGTTCTTGCGCACCGGTGGCGTCTAGGCTTGGGGTTCTCACACGGGTACATGGCGGCACACTGTTAACGCCAGTCGGTCACGCCATGAGAAACTTTTCCCGAGGTAGCGAAAGCTGACTGACTAGCCAACCCTACCCCTTTTACAATGCTTTCTAGGCTTAGGGTTCAGAGGGTGTAGGGTTTAGGGTTTAGGGTTTAGGGTTTAGGGTTTAGGGTTGTTATGTCAGCCCGAACCTTCACCTTTGCAGCCTTCATCGGCCCCAACCTTCCTGCCTTTGGCATTTGTATCCTATCCTTCGGATGGCTTTCTCCACGGGGCTGCACGATTAGGCCACGAAACATCGGCCTTTCATCTTTTTGGGCTTGCAAGGTGCCTTTCTGACATACTTTGCTTTTGGTTTCTGTCAGGATGCATAGCAAGAGGCCAAGAGGTTCACGAACGGACCCAAGGAGTTACCAGATCGTCATGAAAGCTCTTGCTCTCTGTGTTGCTGTCGAGAAACTCCGGGCAGTTCCAAGTGGCTGCAACCTGAGGGCAGTTGAAAGCCTTGGCAGCCTCCCGAAATTCTCCCAAGCATATTCCTCGGCTATCGAGCAGAGCCATGCACATCACAGCCAGGCCGGGGCTTAGCCCTCCTTTCTCCCTACCCCTCTACGAGGAAGAGGTTCGTGTTCCCAGAGCTCCCACTGTCTCCTGTTCCTCCCAGCGTACGTGACAGGGACGGGTGGCAGGTACGGCTTGTTCGTCCTCTCCAATTCCTGGTCACTGCGCAAGTTGGAGGCACGGGCCTTGAGCCTTTCTTCAAGCAAGCTTGCCGTGTCAAGCCCACGAAGCCGCAAGATCCCCTAAACCCTAAACCCTAAACCCTAAACCCTAAACCCTAAACCCTAAACCCTAAACCCTAAACCCTAAACCCTAAACCCTAAACCCTAAACCCTAAACCCTAAACCCTAAACCCTAAACCCGATGCCCTGCAGGACTACCAACCCATCAGCTTCAGAAGCCCTATTAGCGGTCCCAGCGGGCCCATCATGATGCTCATGGTTCATGCTTGGGGTTGAGGCAGTTGGTTTTGGCACACCGTTTGGGACGCCGGCTCTTGATGCGAACTTCTGTCTGGTTCGTGCGCTTTCGCAAGGCGCTTCCAATTGTAACAGTTGCGGTAGTAAGCCTGTGGACCTGAGAGTGCCTTTGTTCGGGCAGGTGGCCAGAAGTTTCGAAACCCTAAGCTCGAAGTTCGAAAACCCAAACCTTATGTAGCTCTTTGGGGTGCAGCTTCTGACCTAACGAAGACATAAACCCCAAACCTTATGTAGGCTCTTTGGGGTGCAGCTTTTGACCTATCCTTTGAAAGCCCCTGCACCAGCTCCGAGGTCCGAGACTCTTCATCCCCCGCTCCGGCAGCGGTGTGCTCGGTTTCGGGGTACGCAGAGCTCATCATCGTCGTCGTCGTCATCCTCATCCTCATCATCATCATCATCATCATCATCATCATCATCATCATCATCATAATTGCATCAGCAAATTATCACCGACACACTTACAACTTACAACCAACATAGCCATACTCGTCATAGTCGTCAGAAGTGAACCTTCGCTCTTGAAGCCAGCGTCCCGCAACATCCTCTGTATGGTTGCAGGGTGCAGTGCGGGCCATGGGATGCTTTGAGGGTTTCGTCGCTCCAGGTCCTCCGAAATCCTGGAATTCTCCCGGCAGCCTCCAAACCGGACCTACGAGTCGAGGCGGCATCATGTGAGTACGTGGTAGCCTGCGGTACGTATAAGGGATAAGTACTGTACTTATATTTAAGGGATAAGCATGTCAGAAACTAGAACTGTACTTATATCTAAGGGAGAAGCACTTCAGGATTGTGGGCTTGAAGGTGCACATTTGCAAGGTTCAGCCACTGGAGGGGATGAGTCGCCAGACCTTTGCAGCCCTTGCGAGTTAAGCCCACGCCCTGAAGACCAACGATGGCGGGGGGCTGATTTTCTGAGAATTCGCGGCATCTTGCAGCGAATTGCGTAAACAGCATGTAACGATGACGGAGTACCATCTTCTGGGAGTATCTGAACATCAGAGGGGTGTGCATTCAACGGTCTTTCAAAAAGGCAAGAAGGTAGACAGCGTGTGCTTCTTGAATGAGGGACCTCAACCATGCCATGCCCAGAGGAACCCGGAGTCCTCACCTTCAGCTTAGGCTAGATGGCAACAGTTGCCTTCGAATTCCATGCCAACCCGCTTGTTTCAGGAGTGGCTGTTTAAGCACATACATGCGTTGTTTTCCGAGTCACGGTCTTTCTTGTCTGTGTCCGACTTAGGGACGGAGCTAAGCCGCAGCAAGATCAGACCCCAGGGGAGGGACTCGTCCTTTTTGAGACATCCCTCCACCGAACGCCTAGAAACATCACTGACAGAAAGACAGAAAGAACTAACCCCTAAAGCCTAAACCCTGAACCCTGAACCCTAAACCCTAAACCCTAAACCCTAAACCCTAAACCCTAAGAATCCTAGCTCCAAAGTGCTCAGAGTTTCTCCCTCGACCCCCTTGATCAGGCCGGCCTGAAGAGCCCAGAGGAGAAGGCCCCCGTCTCCCTCCATTGTTCTAATTACCCTATGTGTTCGTGTTAGGGTATTTTTAGGGGGTTAGGGTTTAGGGTTTGGGGTTTGGGGTTTAGGGTTTAGGGTTTAGGGTTTGGGGTTTAGGGTTCAGGGTTTGGGGTTTAGGGTTTCGGGGAGTCAGGGTGTGTTTAGGCTCTGACGAGGGGTGGGAGGTACGGACAACGCGGCGAAGCTCACGGTACTCAGCGCAGGCCCAGCCCACATCCTAAATCCCAAGCAAGCTCTCCTGCACGCTAAGTTCAAGAACTCCTGGACCCCCCCCCCCCCCACAACCCGACTGGGGCGGGAGAGTCAAGCCGGCCCGGGCGATGGAGGTGGCAAACCTTGAAAGGCTTCTGTAGATTCGTGCTTTCAGGGCTGAGGTACACTCTCATTCAAGCCCTCCAGCACGTACACCGCTTCCTCCCAATCAGAGCACTATGCCCTAGACACCGACCACAGAACTGACGCACGAGGCAGCAAAGACTCAGCTAAACGCCAGGACGCTGACTTCCCGAACCTGAAGCCCTGAGTCAACCCCCCGAAGCTGACACCGACCGCGCTGCAAGAGCTCGTGGCAGCCTATGGAGTTTCCACCGCCCCCCCCCCCCCCCCCCCCCAAAAGCACACTCTCACAGCTCAACGTCCGGGTTTAGAGCGAGGCTCCGTTTGAAGTTTTTTTGAGGCCTGGGCCTTGGGCTCTCAGAGTGTGCCGATTTGGGCCTCAACCTCCCAGCTTTTCAGGATCTCAACCTGATTTTTTGGACTTAGTAGTCATGCACTAGATGGGGACGTCAAGGTGGAGCGTCTGGAACTGTGGCACATCAGGTTCTCGAAGATTTATCAGAGTTGTGGCCCCCGACTTTTTGCTCGGCCTATTCTAGACTTTTCTTTTCGGCCAGGCACATGCCAGCTTCGCCTCGGAGTTGGATGCCCTGCACCGGCTCCTTTGTGCTTGGGAGGGCGAAATTCAAGTTTTAGGCGTCTCAGCGCGTGGCTCACAAGCAGGCAAGAACCTCGCAGACACGGACTCCCACCCCGCTTTTTCTACACCCTAAAATGGGGGTTTCAAAAAATAGGCGTATCCTTCTTGGGGGTTCCCGTTAAGGGGATTCTATTCTATTTGGGCCCTGTTTAGGGAAATGCCCGTACCTCCTGCATCTTATGTCACTGTCGTGGGTCGCTGAGGCAACAAGGTCCTTGAGGTGTCGGCCTCCCTGGAAAATCTCCAGGCGGACTGAGCTTCTGCCCCTCAAACCTAATCCCAGCTCTGTTGCTACACCCTTTCACTGAGGCCGCCGGGTTTTGGTTGTTGAGGTTCTCGGACTGAAGCAGATGCCAGACGATAAGAGATCTCCTCAGCACTGGGGCAGGCAAAGCTGCTTGCACCTCAGCAGGAGATCCCCCCCCCCCCCGCCCCCAAATGGATCTCAAAATGTGATCTCCCGATTAGCTGCTCTGAAGCTGACACCATGAACCGTTCGTTAGCTCATTCCTTGAAGGGCTCGGCACCTATCCTGGGTTTGTCCATCGGCCATTCATGTCGGCTAGTTGGGCGTGTCGCCGTGGATTCCTCCAGTGCGTCCAAAGCAGGTGCATGTCACGGAGCAGACCCAGAAGAAGGCCAAGTGCTTTTTTTTTTGGCTTGGCGTTCTGGACTTTGGGGTTTAGGGCTGAAAGCTCAATGATCACTAGTCACCGCACTGGTGCCAACATCTGAAGCTGTGGCGACCTCGTGGTGGTCGCATTCATCGTTTTGGGGATCCCCGCCTGTGTGTCATGAAAATCATGGCGGACATCAAACACTAGCTCGGAAACAGTCATGGCAGTCACTGAAGGAAAGACCAGAAACAACAAGAGAATGCACTCTTCGAAGCTTACCTCGAGCATGCAGGTGGAGCGCGTGGGGGAAGAGCTGGAAGAACGAATGCCTCACTCCCGGTCCCTTTAAGGCGGGTTCGACCTATTGTGGCTTGCTTCTTTACCTTGTTTCCCAAGGGGAGTGTCTCAGAGGCCTTGTTAGATTCCGACCTGCAGCGTGCAAAGGGGCCAAGCACTGAACCTTCAGCTTGTATCACGAAGCTCCCGAGTACCTTGTCACGGTGGGCATCGAGCCTTGCATGCAGGGGTTGAGTACACGCCATATTCTTGAAATCTTGGGCTGGCACTTCTTGCTGGACCGTGTGGTGCGACCTACTGAGCCCTGAATGGATTATGGGTACGTGCAACGCAGCTCAGGCAGGACGGGTTTCGATGCTTCTACATCTGTCGTGCCTGTTTTGGCCGGAATTGTCGAGAAACCCCTACCTTAAGGCTGCAAAGATTAAGCGCATAAACCCTAAGAGCAAGCAGATCTGGGCCGTAACAAGACCAGTGGGAATTTTGAACTCTGTGCTTGGGGAGGATGGGGACTGGGTTCCCTTTCTAAGGATGAAGATGCTCGAGAAGGCTGCGGAGCGCCGCGCGACTGCAACCGAGTGGTTTCTTTGACTTAGGACGGGTATGAAAGGACGTGAATGGATGGATCCCTGACATATGAGGAAGGGGCTCATGTTGCCGCAAAGGCTGAGATCCATGTTGTGAGCGGACCATGCAGCTTTTCCTGAGAAACTCCCATGTGCATCGAGGCTTCTCCGGCGCCCTGCATGCCCAGCTCTTTCAGGAGCCGTTGAAGCCCGGAAGCGCATGTCAGCAGTTCGGCCCAAGGCCTGTCCTTCTTTCTAGAAGCCCCGAAGCTGCGCTGCTGCTGGAAGTCAAGACTGAGAAGCCTTCTGGCGAGGAGGCCGGCACCGAGAAAGGGCGTGCGTCCAAGGAAGAGAAGGCCAGTAACGTGCGGGGGCATGGATGGTGCATGAATGTTCACACAGCTCATAGCAGGAACTGTCAGTGTAATCATGCAGACATCCCGGAGCTATGTCTAGCATGATGCAGGCCCATACCAATTAGAGTTTTCGTGGGACAGGTTTGCGTTGACAGGAGGCCACAGTAGCAGATGCAGCCTGCCCTTACTCCTCGACCCTGAACTGCGCAATGCTGAAGCTGGGGCCTTTTTGTTCTTGGGTGAGAGGCTGGCGCCCGAAAGGGCTGTCCAGCCATCGATGGGGGTCCACTCGGAAATCGCGGAATCACGCCTTCCAGGAGCCTGGCGAGAACAAAGGCAAACAGCAGCCGGACTCGGACCCTCCCGATCGGGGGGGCACTTGGGTCAAGATCTCCAGTTCCAGGCTTTGGCGACTGTTGGAGCTCAGAAAGCAAGGGGGGGGGGGTCAAATTTGGGAGGGCGTTGGGGGTCTCGTTCAGCCTAAGTCAGAAGCCATGAGCGCCAGTGTTCCAATGGTGCAGGGTTGTCGCGGCTTTGTGGATGCAAGTTGCCACCAAACCTTCTGGCAGAGGGTCTAGCATCGTCTAGGGATCCCGCAAGAATGGTGGCAGCCCCTGACCTTTTTCAAGAAGCCCTGGAAGTTTGCCCTGAAGCGCGAAACCCCTTTTGTGGGGAGGAGGGCGATGCCAACAAGGACAAGGGGCATCCGCCGAAGGAATCGCTCCGCAAGAAGGCCAAAGGGTGATGTTCGGACGGAGTCCTTCAGTTTCCCCCGGAACCTCAATCCCCCCTCGTTTGCTGGACAGTTTGGCCTTGCCGACGGTGGCTACGACGAACGTGTCGCCGCATTGGAGGATGCCGCCAACACAGAAGCAAAGTACGCGAAGGCGCTGGAGCTGTCTGGCGGAGAGCAAGCACTTCGAAAGTACACGCAAATGAGCAGCCCGGCTGTGCACAAGCATTGGGAGGCTGTAGGTAGGTGTAGCTGGAATTCACGAGAAGCGGAGCTCTTGTGTCCAAGCAGAGGGTGGATGCTGAGTGGGAATGAAGAGCGGAACATAGTGGAGCTGTCCTGGTCCTCTAGGTCATGGCAATGTGCATGATTGGGGGGCAGTCCCTAGAAAGATCCCTGAAACTTCGTCCTGCAAGTAGGGGGCTGTGGCCGTTTAGAAAGATGTTCTTTTCTCAGTGACCCGCCCTGAAAATTAAAAAAAAAACGCTCAAGCCGGGGCCCGAGGCGAGGAGCTGCAGAAGAAGTACGGCCTCCACGAAGCGCACCGGGCGCTGCTCCCGCCCGGCGAGCGCAACGCCCGCAGCATTAAGGCCCTGCGCCGGGAGAGGCTCTCCGAAGAAGCCCCAAGGGTGCCAGGGGCTTGGAGAGCCGTTTTTGGCTACTTGGAGCCAGGTGAACTTCCAGCCATTCTTCCGAACGCTGCCCGAGCTCTTCCAGTTTGCCGAAGAGGATCGCTTTTTCTTTGGCGGTGTGTTTTTTTGCAGCCCAGCCCCTTGTGCCACAAAGCTGCAACGAGGAGAAGCACCACTTCTTCGACCTGGTCAAGAAGGTGGCCAAGGCCACGAACGGGACCTACGCGGAGCCGCCGCTGAAAGGAGAAGAGCGTCGCTCGCCTTCAGGAAACGTTTATCCGACGACGCCGAGTTCTTGAGAGCCTGAAGATGATACTTGTGTGATGTTTGTGGGCGATCATCTGCGTGCAAGCTCCCAGTCTGAGGCTGCATCTCCAAAGCGAAGTTCAAGTATGTGGACAGCGCCGGCAGGGTCGAATGGTGCTGCCGGCAAGGAATTGAACGGAGTGGTCTGGAGAAAGGTGGGTGGGCCGGTGACATGGTTTGATCGTCGGTTTTCGCAGCTACCCCAGCTAGAGCCAGCTTGTGTTGTTCTACTGGACTCTTTATAGAGGTTAGGAGAAGGAACTTGGCATCACTCCGTGCGCACCCAACTTGCAAACTCACAAGCTGATTCTTCTGATGATGCGGTGAAGCAGAAAAGCTTCATCGGACCCTAGAGCGAAAGGCAGGGCGAGGTGGCAATGCTAGGTGAGAGCTTCAGTGACAAGAGGAGTGCCTACAGGCACCAATTTCATCAGCTGCTTTATCTTGGTCTTGATCTGCCAGGCACCGGCTCACGGACATCGTGCGTGACACCCTCATCTTCGAGAATTTGACAGACATGTACGCGGGCCTTCAGCTGATCGAGCAGGCCCTGGCGCCGCGCTTTGCCGGCTGACTTGCGCAGTGTAACTCGCAGGACCGAAGCGTGGAGATCGTGGAGCTGAACGACAGGCCCGGTGGATTCAGCTCATGCTCAGCTTGTGTGCTTGGCGCTTGCCCACTGTCCCCGAGCTGTGGTATCCCGAGGTTCCAGAAGAGCCTGGACGGCGGCTACCGCGACCTCCAGCTCACGGTTCGCGTAGGGAGCGGGCTCATGTGCGAGCTGCAGATGAATACGAAGTTCTTCCTCTACGTGAAGGACGGCGTGTTGTTTCAACTTCATCGTCTGCCTGCAGAAACAAGCTTGTCCCGCCATGCTCGCCAGAGAGAACCCACCTCGCACGTGGATGGCCTCTTTTTGTTTCGCGAATCCCTGCAGGAGACGAGCGGCCACCGTACCTTTGAGGTCAAGCGCCAGTTGGTGGCCGACGTCACAGCCAATGACACGGGCGGTACTACTAAGACTCTGGAGTGGGCTGCCAAGCAACCAGAGGCAGTTACGTCTAGCAGCTTTAGCCTGCTAAGTCTGTGGGGGTGCTCATTGAACGAACCAGTGCCGTGCAGCTTCTCCTGCTCGTGGGTTAAGCTTGGAGTGTGCAGATGCTTCGTGCCCGGAGGCTCTGCAGGATGTCTTGGCTGAGCGCAAGTCGCCCCTGCTGCACGTCGCGGCCGCGAAGGGAAACTCTGACCTGGTGCCGCCTGACCGGAAGCGAAGAACCGCAACTGCTTCACGATCCGTGCCGGCTTCGGTGTGTCTGTATCCATTGAGATTGCCTTTGCTTTCAGATGGGGTTTCGCTCCTTTGCGGTTTCGCTCCTTTTTGCCTCCTTGGCCCCTGGAGAAATTACTCACTTGCTGTGATACACCGTTGCGCATGAACACTTGGCGCACAGTAAGGAGCCTGTTCCTCCAGCGCCGCGCCGATGTCAACCTGACAGAGGACAAGACTGGGCGAACCGCCTTGCATGAGGCACTTCCCGCTTTTCCACATGGCATTTCCTCTTGGCCACTTGCTAAGAGCTTTCGGGAGCGCTCTGATCTTGCTTGAGAGTGTGTCAGGCGATGTACCAAGGCCGCTCTTGCGCCGCGTGGGCGCTGATCACGGCCGGTGCTGAACTAGATACAAAGGACACTGAGCACCACACGGCTCTGACACTCGGCCGCTCTCCTGCACGTTGTGCACACTTATGAAGCTGAGTCAGGCCATTTGCCATGTGCAAACGACTTGTGCAGGGCTGTGATCACCAGATGCAGTTGCCAGGGCTGTGGTCTGTCTTGACATCTTGAAGTGGATGGATGGGTCTTTGAGCTCCTTTTGTTTCTGGAAAGCTTGCACCAAAGGCCGTCTCGTGCAAAGAATGTTCCCTGAGAGCGAGCCGGTTGCAAGGTGGGCTTTGGGTTGCGAAAGGCGATGTCAATGCCGCTGGAAGCTGTGTCTTTGGCTGGGGCCGCGCTTGTCCAGGTGCGTGTGCATGCTGTCACAAAGGATGGGCGTGCAGGACCTGCAGGGCTCACCTGGTCTCGCAACTTGAGTTTCTGTGGCTACACTCTGCTTCGAGGAGCTGCAGCTCTCGACAAAGGCCTTCGAAGAGGAGGTGCGCCGCCGGCTGATGAACAGCTCCGAGTTGGTGACGCTGCCCGATCCTCAGCTGCTCTGCGTGCGCCGTTGTGAACGTGGTGAGCCTGAAGCTGAATGGATGCGGCCCAAGGGCGTTCGACGGCGACGAGGCCAAGGTCCTCGAGAAGCTCCGGGACTGGAAAGACCCCGAGAGCCAGAACACGGAGGGCCAGCGGCCCTTGCACCAGGCGCAACTCTGCACAGAACTCCCCACAGTGCCCTACACGTGCTCTCCTGAACTAGCTTCTTTTCTGCCAGGCTCTTGCGAGAGGCCACCTGAAGGTGGCAAGGCACCTGATGCTCTACAAGGCCGATGTTTGGCAGAAGGCGAACGGCCGAACCGCGGTTTCCGTGGCGCTGGAGCACCCCGATGGCCTGCAGCTCCTCATCGACGCGCACAAGGATGATGAGGCCAGGGCAGTGGAGAGTCCGTGCACCAACTGTTTTGCATTTGCATCGGGGCACCTTGCGTCTTGCCACCGGAGGACGCTTCCGACCTGATGTCAGGAAGCCAGGGGCTTTTGCTATTTTGCCATGCAATACGTGGCATGGCATGCCAGAGCCACGCCAGTCTGCAAGCCCCGCATGTGTAAGCAGAAAGGCAGCGAGGCCCTCTTCCGCGCCGCGCAAAAGCTGAAGGAGATGCGGGAGGCCCCCCCCTCCGTACTCCCGGGCTTTGGGAGAGTCAGATGCGGACGATGGCTGAAACGAGCACTGCGGCAGAGTTGATGCGCAGGCTGCGCAGCCGGATGCTGACGACCAGGGCGGCCTGAATCCCAGCGATGCGCGAGTAAAGTCCTGCCGCGCGCGACGTGGGCAAGAGACGTGGGGAGCGAGTGTGACGAGTCTCGAAGTCTGCGTTTATCGCACGCGGTCTGCAGCAGACCTATGTATAGCACACATATATATATATATATGGTACCCCCCCCCCCCAGTGACCTACCCTTTTTCGCCTTGTCTCAAGTCACCCAGCTGCACTGCAAGCAAACTCGGTGTGCAGTATAGCGTATTTCCTAGGGCGTAGACTAAAATACAACTAAAATCGCATACACGGGACAGTAGAAAAACCAAAAATACCAAAACCAAAAAAACCAAAAAACCAAAACCAAAAATACCAAAAAAACCAAAACCAAAAAAACCAAAACCAAAAAAACCAATTTTCCGGGACTCTCAGGAAATCCCTATGAGGCTTCTCCAAGAGTCCCGGAAAATTGTTTTTTTTGGTATTTTTGGTTTTTTTGGTTTTGGTTTTTTTGGTTTTTTTGGTTTTGGTATTTTTGGTTTTTTTGGTTTTGGTACTTTGGCTTTTTGGTTCGCCTTCACGGTCACGAGGCAACAACTACGCTTTTTTAAGTGTGCTTATGCTAATTGTGCTTTTCAGAAATAGTATACAAGTGGTCTTTCTAGTGCTTCAGAACTATTTGTTTCGTTATTATGTAAGTAGAGCCGCTAGTGTTTAGTGCCTCTTTTGGTTGTACTCAAGTGTAGTAGGCCTTATTCAGCCATTACTTGGTGCTCTGGTAGCTCCATTCGCATGGATTATATTTGCCTGGTAAATGCGATTAATTATCTAGAAGCAGCATTTGCAATACTTGTCTTGAGAAAAAGCATTTATTGCTTAGAATTGTTTGCTTAAAAAGTGACTCCTACTCGTCCAGGAATACCCCAAAACCCTATAATCCAAACTTTACCAGAGATTCTCCTGAAAAGCTTGCGCTTTTGGATGTTTTTATGTATTTGTGAATTTGCTTGTGTATGGCCTTCACTAAGTACTTTTCTAGGATTCTTGTGCATTTGTTAAGCCTGATTGTGCAAGTTGCGTTTTTCAAGCATAGTATATATGTGGTCTTTATTGAATACTTCAGACATCTTTGTTTCATCGGAGTGTAAGTAGAACCGCTTCTATTTCCATTATTGTGCATCTTTAAGCTTGCTCATGCAAATTGTGCTTTTCAGACATAGTATATAAGTGGTCTTTAGTGAATATTTCAGCAATCTTTGTCTCATTGTTATGTAGGTAGAACCGTTTCCATTTCCGCAAGTGTTTATTTCGTATTTGGTTGAGTATGGTCCTTTAAATAGTATTCACTTGAGTCAAATTGGGCTATTTGCTTAAGAATTCCTCTAGTAGTTAAATTCGCATAGAATGAATACTTCAAAAAATTGTTTCATGAATATGTAAACATAAGGTGTTTCATTTGACTTTGCAGATAGTACTTCAATAATACTTTGCCTGGTATAAACACAACTGTTTCAATGCATTAGTTGCTCAACAAAGCACTATTTGCCCTTTAAACCACACTTTGCCATATTTTGGTTGAATATGGTGCTTCTTTCGTATTTTGGTTGAGTATGGTCCTTTAAATGGTATTCACTTGAGTCAAATTGGGCTATTTGCTTAAAAATTTTAATTACTCTAGTAGCTAAATTCGCATAAAATGATTATTTCAAAAAGAAAAACGATTCATGAATATGTAAACATAAGGTATTTCAGTGGACTTTTCAGAGAGCATACTTTGCCTAGTACAAACACAATAGTATAAATACAGTATTTACACTTTAAACGCACACTTTGCCATTTTTTGGTTGAAAATGGTGTTTATTTCGTATCTTGGTTGAGTATGCTCCTTTAAATAGTATTCACTTGAGTCAAATTGGGCTCTTTGCTGAATAATTACTCTAGTAGCTAAATTCGCATAGAACCAAGAAAAAATTTTCACTATTTGATTAATACTTTGCCTCGTACAAACACAATTGTATAAATAAATTTGTTGCTCAACAAAACATTAATTGCCCTTGAAACGCACAATTTGCATAGAAAAACACTGATCTAAACATCTAAAAACAGCATTGTCCGCTTCAGATTCAAAATGTAGATTCTTCCAATGCTAGCTTATCGGGGTCTGTGAGGTGGGTGTCCCAGTAACTGTCCTTCACTACCCGGTGATTAACTACGCGACTTTTGGGCCTTCTTTGTTATTTTTTGTTAAAAAGGCCTAAAAAGGCCTAAAAAGGGTAGGTCGCTGGGGGGGGGGTAGCATATATATACATATGTGTGCAAAATGTATATATATATATATACATATAGATATAGGTTTGGCGCGATCTGGTACATGAGAGCGGGACAAGGCGTGCCGGCGCTGCACCTGGCCGCCGCCACGGGCGACGTGGAAGTCCTCAGGGAGCTGCTGGACAAGGGCCAGGACAAGGCCACGCTGCCTTTTTGCAGGTTGAGTCTCCTTTTCCCCTATTTGTCCTTCCCTGGTTGGAGCTTCATGCCAGGATGCCAAGGACCACAAAGGTGTGGAGCTCAGCTTCCGGCGCACGCTCCACCCATGTCCGCGACAAGCGCTCCGAGGCTACACGGCCCTGATGGTGGCTGCCAGGCATGGCAGGGTGGAGTGCTTCACGGAGCTGCTCCAGCGCGACGCGGACAAGGTGCCTCTCTCGGGTTTCGCCCATGTCCCAGCCTTAAGCCTGGGACGGCAGCAGGATGCCAGCACAGACTCCACTTGTTGTGGAATGGAGTGAAGGCAGTTGTCAGGCCACTGTCCCGTGTCGACAGAAAAGAACATGAACTATAGAGCCGCATGGCCAAAGAACGTTGTCCAGATCGTTGGACCAGTCAGCTAGTTACTTCCCGAGAGTCTAACATTACATGCGGGTTTACGAAGGTACGGAACCCTAATATACACCCCCCCCCCCAATCCCTAACGATAATTAAGGGACACCCTAAACCTTTTACCCTGAAGCTCTAAACCCTAAACCCTTTACCCCAAACCCTACAGGGCTATGGGGTAGAGGGCTGGGGTAAGGGGCGGAGGGGTGGGGGGAGGAGGGGCTTTGGGGTTGGGCGGTTGGGGCATTTTGGAGCTCGCGTCCCAAGCTCGAGTTTTGGGTTGGCAACACGTCTCTAAACCGTGAATTTGCGGTTTTGTTTTGTTCCCGAAAGCTTCAGCGAAGGGTTCTTCGGAAAAAAAACGTTAGCCCTACCACACTACCACACACTCACACTACCATCACCACACTACAATCACCACACTACCATCACCACACTCCAATCACCACTACCATCACCACACTCCAATCACCACACTCCACACTACCATCACATCACCTCCTCTATTAAATTCTCTCTTATTTCTTAGGCTGGGGTGGGTTTCGCCGCGGCTAGCGCGATGCACCCCTCTGCGGGGATCGTGCGTGTCGGGGCGCTCCCGCTGTGCGTTTTTGCGCATGTGATTTGTCGCCGCGCACCCTCTGCGGGGATCGTGCGTGTCGGAGCGCTCCCGCTGTGCGTTTTTGCGCATGTGGATTTGTCGCCGCGCACCCTCTGCGGGGATCGTGCGTGTCGGAGCGCTCCCGCTGTGCGTTTTTGCGCATGTGGATTTGTCGCCGCGCACCCTCTGCGGGGATCGTGCGTGTCGGAGCGCTCCCGCTGTGCGTTTTTGCGCATTTACAACTTGCTTCGCACACCCTCTGCGGGGATCGTGCGTGTCGGAGCGCTCCCGCTGTGCGTTTTTGCGTATTTTCAAGCGTGGTCGTGCACCCTCTGCGGGGATCGTGCGTGTCGGACCCTTCCTCACCTCTTCCTCTCCTCTTCCTCTGCTCTTCTTTTCCTCTTCCTCTCCTCTTCCTCTCCTCTTCTTTTCCTCTTCCTCTCTTCTTCCTCTCCTCTTCCTCTCCTCTTCCTCTCCTCTTCCTCTCCTCTTCCTCTCCTCTTCCTCTCCTCTTCCTCTCCTCTTCCTCTCCTCTTCCTCTCCTCTCCTCTTCTCTCCTCTTCCTCTCCTCTTCCTCTCCTCTTCCTCTCCTCTTCCTCTCCTCCTCTCCTCTTCCTCTTCCTCTTCCTCTGCTCTTCCTCTCCTCTTCCTCTCTTCTCTCCCTCTCCTCTTCCTCTCCTCTTCTCTCCTCTTCTTTTCCTCTTCCTCTCCTCTTCCTCTCCTCTTCCTCTCCTCTTCCTCTCCTTCTTCCTCTCCTCTTCCCTCTCCTCTTCCTCTCTCTTCTCTTCTTCTCTTCTTCTTTTCCTCTTCCTCTCCTCTTCTTCCTCTCCTCTTCTTCCTCTTCCTCTCCTCTTCTCTCCCTCTTCCTCTCCTCTTCCTCTCCTCTTCCTCTCCTCTCCTCTTCCTCTCCTCTTCCTCTGCTCTTCCTCTTCTCTTCCTCTCCTCTTCCTCTCCTCTTCCTCTCCTCTTCCTCTCCTCTTCCTCTCCTCTTCCTCTGCTCTTCTTTTCTTCTTCCTCTCCTGGAAAGTCGACTTTTGTAGTACAAACGTAGTACGCCGCGGACGCCCGGAGCTGCCGTGGCTGGAAAGTCGACTTTTTGCAGTACAAACGTAGTACGCCGCGGACGCCCGGAGCTGCCGTGGCTGGAAAGTCGACTTTTTGTAGTACAAATGTAGTACGCCGCGGACGCCCGGAGCTGCCGTAGCTGGAAAGTCGACTTTTTGTAGTACAAACGTAGTACGCCGCGGACGCCAGGAGCTGCCGTAGCTGGAAAGTCGACTTTTTGTAGTACAAACGTAGTACTTGTAGTACAAACGTAGTACGCCGCGGACGCCCGGAGCTGCTGTGGCTGGAAAGTCGACTTTTTGTAGTACAAACGTAGTACGCCGCGGACGCCCGGAGCTGCCGTAGCTGGAAAGTCGACTTTTTGTAGTACAAACTCTGGGGCTTCGAAAACCTCACAAACACCGTGGGCGCGGAACTCTGGAGCTTCGAAAACCTCGCAAATACCGTGGGCGCGGAACTCTGGGGCTTCGACAACGTCCAAAATCCGTGGGCGCGGAACTCATGGGGCTTCGAAAACGTCGCAAATACCGTGGGCGCGGAACTCTGGGGCTTCGAAAACCTCGCAAATACCGTGGGCGCGGAACTCCGGGGCTTCGAAAACCTCACAAACACCGTGGGCGCGGAACTCTGGAGCTTCGAAAACCTCGCAAATACCGTGGGCGCGGAACTCTGGGGCTTCGACAACGTCCAAAATCCGTGGGCGCGGAACTCATGGGGCTTCGAAAACGTCGCAAATACCGTGGGCGCGGAACTCTGGGGCTTCGAAAATCGCAAATACCGTGGGCGCGGAACTCTGCTTCGAAATCGCAAATACCGTGGGCGCGGAACTCCGGGGCTTCGAAAACCTCGCAAATACCGTGGGCGCGGAACTCATGGGGCTTCGAAAACGTCGCAAATACCGTGGGCGCGGAACTCTGGGGCTTCGAAAACCTCGCAAATACCGTGGGCGCGGAACTCCGGGGCTTCGAAAACCTCGCAAACACTGTGGGCGCGGAACTCTGGAGCTTCGAAAACGGCGCAGCAAATAGCGCGACGGCTCTCGTGTGGGCGCGCAATCATTGCGGATGACATCTTGTCCTGCGCTCATGCAGAGCTATGCTTTGATCTGTTCACAACATGGCAGCAGGCGCCTCAGGCCATGTGGGACTTTTGCATGCTGGCATGTGTACGTGGTATCACCCCATTGCCGTCATCGCGCTACCATCGCCTCAGCTATACACGGCCTCTCTACACTGCCTATTCTATTCCATCTTCTTTGCGTTTCGCGTCCTTTTCGCTGTCGACGCGACATCTGCTTCCTATCCTACTACACCACACCACGATCACCGCACTGACAACACAACCAACTCTACGTGTCAGTTGATATCTTCGCACTGATTGCTTTCGGGATAATCGGTGTCTAGTTTTTTTTTTGGGGGGGGTGGGGGGGGGGAGAGGGGGGTTTGGGGTAGGGAGGGCACTGTTTGTTTTTTGGGCGGGGTGGGGGTGGGGGTAGGGGAGTAGGGTGTAGGGGGGGGTAGGCGCTCGACCCAACAGTGGGGGTGGATGGGTTGTACAGGGTAGATATGGGTTCTAAGGAGTCCTTTTTTGAGCCAAGGAACGGTGCAACTTAAGATGCTGGGGGTTGAGGCGGCAAGAAATTTGGCAAAAGGTTTTTGAAACCACAGAGCTTCGACCGGGCTGTGCGGGATGCCAGGAGATAGGCAACTCAGGGCTTGAAGATCGCACGATCAGCACACAAGAACCACGCAATCACCACACACTCACCATGGGTGCCCTCGATCTGGGGTGTTCTTTGAGGCGTCGCAAGATACTCAATTTTTCTTAAACGCAAATGAGTGCAGCAACAGTCGGCGCCTCTCCTGCCGCCACACTCGGGAGCCCCGCCCGCCAGGAGGCCCGTGACGAAGATGGCAGGGGCCTCGGAGGGACGGGTGCTGGCAGAGCTTGGAGTTGATGAGAGTTGAGAAGTTGAGAAGTTGTACCAAGTTGGAGAGATTCACAGAAGGCTGTAGTGCATCCCGCATCCGACTTGTGCGAGTTCCCATTGCCTCCATGGGGGTCCTCAAGGCCGCCTGGGGAGTCCGACGCCTCTGTCACGTGGGCGAAGGTGTAGAGAGAGACGCCCCCGAGTCCGAGGCCGGACGGCGCTGATGCTCGCTGCCGATTGTGGCAAGCGAGACTGCCTGGAAGCGCTCCTGCAAGCGGGAGCGGACAAGGCCTGTGCGGGGTCTAAGGGGGAGAAGGGGTTGTGGGAGGCTGCCAGCTTGAGCTGCCGGAGGCTTTTCCCCATTGTCCGAAGCATAAACGCACCGGCAAGTTGCAAGGGTGCATGTTGAGTCAGGCCGGGCGAAACCCGGCAACCCCACAATCGTGCTGAGAGCATTCTGTTAAATCTGGGCCAGACAGGCACACACTTTTTTAACTTCTCATCGCAAGCAGAGCCGCAGTCTTTGCATTTTGCATTTTTCGAGCACCCCCTTGTCGGTAAAGGACTTGACTTGGTTAAATCCTGAAGAGCTTCAAGCTGGATTGGGAGCCCCTCATGTTGCACAGCCACCCGGACCTGGGATATGTCCTCCCAATGACGGACGAAAATGGCTGGCCCTGCAGTCTCGAGCGGATCCACGTGTGGGGGTTCTGAGACAGGTTTCCAAGCATTGCGGAAGGGGCCAGTTGCTTGTGAGCCTGGGCCCTCGGTTTTCCATAGTCGGAGGGAAGCCCTCGTCTCTAGATGCAGAGCATGAACTTAGTCAGTCCTGTAGCATTGGAGGAAGGTAGAGGGCAGAGTTTCAGGTTGGGTTCTAGAGGCGTCCCCCATCCCCACCCGCCAAGACGACTCACATTCTAGCATTTTCGAGTGGAAGGCTCATGTCTGTATATAAGCAAATTAAGAACCCAAGGCTACCCTAGCTCAAATCCTCCTGGGTAGATGGGTCAGTGGAAACTAAGAAACTTAGGGTACCCTAGTGCCGGAAAACCGTTGTAGTTACATCCGGGGGCTTATGAGGGGGATCAGATGCATTCCGAAACTCATTAGGCCTGAGGGCCTCGGCGGTTTTTGGAGTGCGTATGGCAATCACCATGGGGTATTCATTTTCGGGCACATTTGGCTGTGGGACTTGGTTTTGAGAAACGCTGCAGGCACTTAAAACTGGGTTGGGAGCCATCCTGATATCACCCGAACCTGCATCGAGACTGCCTGGAAGTGCTCCTGCAGGCGGGAGCGGACAAGGCCCGTGCGGGGTGCCGGTGTTTGCACGTGGGCTCTAAAGGGGGGGGGAAGGCTGCCAGCTTCAGCCGACTTTTCCACACTCCCTTCTGCCGGAATGCCGCAAACCCACCCTGACCGCAGCATAAATGCACCAGTAAGTTGGGAGTGGATGTTGAGTCAGCCCGGGCGAAACCCTGCTTCCCCGGTCCTGCCAGTACAATCCTCCTGAGAGCATTCTGTGAAATCTGGGCCAGGCAAGCACACACTTTTTCCATCCCTTGTACCACTTGGACAATTTGGAGAATTTCTCATCACAAGCAGGGCTGCAGTCTTTGCATTTTGCATTTTCGAGCACATCCTTGTCTGTAAAGGACTTGACTTGGTTGGTACAACCCTGAATCGCTTCAAACTGGACTGGGAGCCCCTCATGTTGCACGGCCACCCGGACCTGGGATATGACCCCCCCAATGATAGACGAAAACGACTGGCCATGCAGTCTCCAGCGGATCCAGTTTTTTGGGGTTCTGAGACAGGTTTCCATGCCTTGCGGAAGGGGGGACCAGTTGCTTATGAGCCTGGGCCCTCGACTTTCCATAGTCGGAGGATCTGATGTATGGGTTGAAGCCCTCGTCTCTAGATGCAGAGCTGGAACTTAGAAAGCCCTGTAGCATTGGAGGAAGGTAGGGGGTCCGGCAGGGTTTCAGGTTGGGGCTCTGACTGCTGAAGACCACACAAACGTGACGCAATCGCCAGACATGGACTGAAGGGTGCCCTCGATCTGGGGCGTTCTTTGAGGCGTCGCAAGATACTCAGTTTTGTTTACCGCAAAAGAGTGCAGCAACAGTGGGCACTCGCGAGCCCCGCCCGCCAGGAGGCCCGTGACGAAGATGGCAGGGGCCTCGGAGGGACGGGTTGCTGGCAGAGCTTGGAGTTGATGAGAGTTGGAGAAGTTGAGAAGTTGTACCAAGTTGGAGAGACTCAGAGAAGGCTGTAGTGCATCCCGCATCCGACTTGTGCGAGTTTCCCGTTGCCTTCATGGGGGTCCTGAAGGCCTGGGAAGTCCGACGCCTCTGTCACGTGGGCGAAGGTGTAGAGAGAGATGCCCCCCCGAGTCCGAGGCCGGACGGCGCTGATGCTCGCTGCCCAGTTTGGCCACCGAGACTGCCTGGGAGCGCTCCTGCAAGCGGGAGCGGACAAGGCCTGTGCGGGGTCTAAGGGGGAGAAGGGGTTGTGGGAGAGCTGCCGGAGGCTTTTCCCCATTGTCCGCAGCATAAATGCACCGGCAAGTTGCAAGGGTGCATGTTGAGTCAGGCCGAAACCCGGCAACCCCACAATCCTGCTGAGAGCATTCTGTTAAATCTGGGCCAGACAGGCACACACTTTTTTTCCATACGACTTGGACAATTTGGTGCAACTTCTCATCGCAAGCAGAGCCGCAGTCTTTGCATTTTGCATTTTCGAGCACCCCCTTGTCGGTAAAGGACTTGACTTGGTTAAACCCTGAAGAGCTTCAAGCTGGATTGGGAGCCCCTCATGTTGCACAGCCACCCGGACCTGGGATATGTCCCCCCCAATGACGGACGAAAATGGCTGGCCCTGCAGTCTCGAGCGGATCCACGTGTGGGGGTTCTGAGACAGGTTTCCAAGCATTGCGGAAGGGGCCAGTTGCTTGTGAGCCTGGGCCCTCGGTTTTCCATAGTCGGAGGGGAAGCCCTCGTCTCTAGATGCAGAGCATGAACTTAGTCAGTCCTGTAGCATTGGAGGAAGGTAGAGGGCAGAGTTTCAGGTTGGGTTCTAGAGGCGTCCCCCATCCCCACCCGCCCAAGACGACTCACATTCTAGCATTTTCGAGTGGAAGGCTCATGTCTGTATAGAAGCAAATTAAGAACCCAAGGCTACCCTAGCTCAAATCCTCCTGGGTAGATGGGTCAGTGGAAACTAAGAAACTTAGGGTACCCTAGTGCCGGAAAACCGTTGTAGTTACATCCGGGGGCTTATGAGGGGGATCAGATGCATTCCGAAACTCATTAGGCCTGAGGGCCTCGGCGGTTTTTGGAGTGCGTATGGCAATCACCATGGGGTATTCATTTTCGGGCACATTTGGCTGTGGGACTTGGTTTGTTAAAAAACGCTGTAGGCACTTAAAACTGGGTTGGGAGCCATCCTGATATTGCAGAGCCAGCCTCAAGACGAACCCCCCCCCCCCGCCCAACCCGAACCTGGGTTATGGCCCCAACCAAGGCCGAACATGACCGTGTCTCTGTCTCCAGGTGCATGAGCTTAAGCCTTTAGCGAGCCCCATGCCCATAGCCTTAGGGGAGGCGAAGCCATTGAGGCTCTTTGGCAAAAGCAGTTTGACGCCACAGACGGGGCTGTGCGGGATAGCGAGGAACACAATCACCACACACACTCACCAAGATACCTAGTGTACGGTGCCCTCGATCTGGGGCGTTCTTTGAGGTGTCGCAAGATACTCAAGTTTTTTTCAACGCAAAAGAGTGCAGCAACAGTGGGCGCCTCTCCTGCCGCCACATTCGGGAGCCCCACCCGCCAGGAGGCCCATAACCAGTGGGGCAGGGGCCTCGGAGGGGCGGGTGCTGGCAGAGCTTGGAGTTGATGAGAGCTGGAGAAGTTGAGAAGTTGTACCAAGTTGGAGAGACTCAGAGAAGGCTGTAGTGCATCCTGCATCCGACTTGTGCGAGTTTCCATTGCCTGGCGAGTCCGACGCCTCTGTCACGTGGGCGAAGGTGTAGAGAGAGATGCCCCCCGAGTCCGAGGCCGGACGGCGCTGATGCTCGCTGCCTTTAATGGCAAGCGAGACTGCCTGGAAGCGCTCCTGCAAGCGGGAGCGGACAAGGCCCGTGCGGGGTGCCGGTGTTTGCACGTGGGCTCTAAAGGGGGGGAACTGGTTGTGGAAGGCTGCCAGCTTCAGCTGCCGGAGACTTTTCCACACTCCCTTCTGCCGGAATGCCGCAAACCCACCCTGACCGCAGCATAAATGCACCAGTAAGTTGGAAGTGGATGTTGAGTCAGCCCGGGCGAGACCCTGCTTCCCCGGTCCTGCCAGTACAATCCTCCTGAGAGCATTCTGTGAAATCTGGGCCAGGCAAGCACACACTTTTTCCATCCCTTGTACCACTTGGACAATTTGGAGAATTTCTCATCACAAGCAGGGCTGCAGTCTTTGCATTTTGCATTTTCGAGCACATCCTTGTCTGTAAAGGACTTGACTTGGTTGGTACAACCCTGAATCGCTTCAAACTGGACTGGGAGCCCCTCATGTTGCACGGCCACCCGGACCTGGGATATGACCCCCCCAATGATAGACGAAAATGACTGGCCATGCAGTCTCCAGCGGATCCAGTTTTTTGGGGTTCTGAGACAGGTTTCCATGCCTTGCGGAAGGGGGGACCAGTTGCTTATGAGCCTGGGCCCTCGACTTTCCATAGTCGGAGGGGAAGCCGTCGTCTCTAGATGTAGCATTGGAGGGAAGTAGGGGGCAGAGTTTCAAGTGGGGCTCTGACTGCTGAGGACCACACACAATCACTAGACATGGACTGAAGGGTGCCCTCGATCTGGGGTGTCCTTTGAGGCGTCACAAGATACTCATTTTCCCGAAAACCCGCGAAAACCGAGCCCCACCAAGGCGACAATGCGCCGCTCGCTGAAAGTGGTGCGCGTTGAGTAATGCCAAGCGAAACCCGGCAACCCTGGTCCTGTCACACACCTACTAGGCTGCGTACAAACCTCTTTCCATATGACGTGGATAATTTATATAAGTTGGAGCATCTTCTCGACGACATCCAAACAGAGCCGCAGTCTTTGGCCCAAATTTGGCTGTATAGGACTTGGTTGTAGTACTTTGCACAAACAAAGGGTCGCGACCCCCTCGTTTTGAAGAGCCGTCTCGCGTGTGTGGGTTCCGAGACAGGTTTCGAAGGTCTACAGAAGGGTCTGATTTGGATGCCAAGCCTGGGCCCCCCATCTTTGACATCAGCCGGAGGGTCTGATATCTCGGTAGTGAGCCCTGCAGTATTTTGGGAAGAAGGGGAGGGGGTGTCCCTTTGGCAAACCCAATTTTGGCTGTGGAACCCAACTGACCTTCTGCCCCCTCAGCACACCTTCCATGCCCCTATTGCATGCCAAAAATCGGGATTACAGTAAAACCACTGTATAGGAAACCATTGCATAAGAACAAAAGCGTATAAGAAACTAAGAGCCTGGATCCAGGGATTTTGGGCGATTTGCGGCTTTGGCAAAATCAGTTTGAAGCCACAGACGGGGCTGTGATAGTGAGGAACACAATCACCACGCACTCACCATACCTAGACTGAAGTGTGCCCTCGATCTGGCGTGTTCTTTGAGGCGTCGCCAAGATACTCTTCTTTTAAACGCAAATAGAGTGCAGCAACAGTGGGCGCCTCTCCTGCCGCCACACTCGGGAGCCCCACCCGCCAGGAGGCCCGTTGCGAACGTGGCAGGGGCCTCGGAGGGACGGGTGCTGTCAGAGCTTGGAGTTGATGAGAGTCGAGAAGTTGAGAGAAGTTGTACCAAGTTGGAGAGACTCAGAGAAGGCTGTAGTGCATCCCGCATCCGACTTGTGCGAGTTTCCATTGCCTCCATGGGGGTCCTGAAGGTCTGGGGAGTCCGACGCCTCTGTCACGTGGGCGAAGGTGTAGAGAGAGATGCCCCCCGAGTCCGAGGCCGGACGGCGCTGATGCTCGCTGCCTTTAATGGCAAGCGAGACTGCCTGGAAGCGCTCCTGCAAGCGGGAGCGGACAAGGCCCGTGCGGGGTGCCGGTGTTTGCACGTGGGCTCTAAGGGGGGGGAAGAGGTTGTGGTGTGGACCCCTTCTGCCGGAATCCCGCAAACCCTACCCTGACCGCAGCATAAATGCACCAGTAAGTTGGAAGTGGATGTTGAGTCAGCCCGGGCGAAACCCTGCAACCCCGGTCCTGCCAGTACAATCCTCCTGAGAGCATTCTGTGAAATCTGGGCCATGCAAGCACACACTTTTTCCATACCACTTGGACAATTTGGAGAACTTCTCGTGACAAGCAGGGCTGCAGTCTTTAGCCATTCTACTCAATATACATTCACAACATCTTAAACAACATCCAACACATCCAAATGTAAATTTTGCACATTTATTTTGACTTGCTTTAGTTTTATTTTCCAAATATTTTAATGATCCCCTTATTACCCTATGTGAATGTCCAAATGCAATTACATGTAAATATTTTCGTTGAGCAAACAACCATAATGCAAATTCTTGTAACCTTTGTTGTGCAGTTTTTATCACTTGCATCACCTTTATAATATTTTGTTGATAGTCTTTCATCATAAAATTTTTCCATATTATATTTACCATTTAATAATGTTGATTGTCTTTCATGTCGACTTAAAATACAAAATTACCATGTGATTTACCATTAACACCAACTATACAACAAAATATGAGTGGATCACCATTGCCATCACCATCTTTACAATCAAAAAGTGTTTGTATGAGTACAGTACCAACAACATACAGTTGGTATAAATATATTAATCAAAATGAAATGTGTTTAAATCAATTTATGGAGGCTTTAGTTTCTGAATTTAATGTTGAGGTATGTTACATGTATTTGTATATGTACATATATGTGTTGAACATCTGTTTCAGTTGTGCCAGGATATTTATAAATTTTATTGCATTTTTTCATTTTCGAGCACATCCTTGTCGGTAAAGGACTTGACTTGGTTGGTACAACCCTGAATCGCTTCAAACTGGATTGGGAGCCCCTCATGTTGCAGATATGCCCCCCCCGCGGATCCACGTTTGGGGGTTCTGAGACAGGTTTCCATGCATTGGGGAAGGGGGCAGTTGCTTATGAGCCTGGGCCCTCGACTTTCCACAGTCGGAGGGTCTGATATATGGGTTGAAGCCCCCGTCTCCAGATGCAGAGCTTGAACTTAGTCAGCCCGGGCGCGTGGGACTCTGGAACGCACGGGTTTGGCGCCGTCTATAGTGTCCAAAGCCACGACCTTTCAACCCTATGTGGGTCCTCAGCTCAAAAGCCTCCAAACCTGAATGCCTTCAAACCGAAGCTGCAACCTTAGAATAGCAACAAATGCCGCCCTGCAACCACGCCACGGGGCCCGCAGCCACGCCGAGGGAAAGGCTATCCGCCCATGAGCCATCGTGTCAGGCTGTCGAAAACCAAGGCCGCTGATGCTCCTGATGCGCGTCCCGCGGTCCCGGGCTGAACCCGCTGATGCTCATGATATTGGGGGGGTCCGTGGCTACCCCAAACATTACGCAAATTAACACCAAAATTGGTGGGGGCTGCGGCACTGCCGTCCAGCCTATGGGTCTACGCACAGGGCTAGTTCGATTAGCGCGGAATAAATCCCGTGTTACACAGTTTCGCGACAGGGTCAGCCATGGCGGCGTTGTGTTCGAGTAGTGCTAGACCCCCCAGTCGTACACCCGACGCCGCGGGATCCTCCTTTTCGTGGTTGACAGCGTTTCTGCATGCGTGGTCGGGATTGAGCCGGGGAGAGGCGCGTTGGGTTGGGGGGGGAGTGGAGGGGATGGAGGGGGTGGGGCGGCGGATGGTGGATGGAGGGGGGCAAGTGGCATGCCGTGGGGCGGACACAGAAAATCCTTCGAATTTCAGTGACGTCGACCCTCCGGGGTCGGCGGATCTGGGATCCAAGCCCTCCCCTTGCTCTCGGCCCCCCTGCTGCCCTCCCAAAAGGAAGCGAAGAACAACGACGGCCGGAGCCTGGGAGTCACTTCTAGGGTTTGTGCGGTAGAAAGTTGCCAGCAAGACTAGGTGGCCCCCACAGGTTTTGGAGCTCTTGCTGTCCGCGCCCTCTTAAAGCTCTTAAGGCAAGACGGCGCTGGATGAGGCGGCTGACGAGGCGGAGTCGGATTTTGGATTGGGGGAGAGCTGGGGCTTCCTCGGACCTGTCCCTTGTGGCATCTATCTTGATTCTAGGAACATCGAGCACCTTCCACAAACCCTGTTTCAAAGCCCCTACGATCCATATAGCGTACGAACCTAAATCATGAACCCTAAATCCATCTATGTCCCAGCTCAACCCAAAACCCTTCATCCTGATCCCCCCCAGTCTCCATACTCTCCGGCAACAATCCCAGGAGTGCAGGCAGATCCTGAGCCCCAGCCTTGGTTGCGTCGCGCTTCTGTTGCGGCGTCTTTTTGGGGCCTGGTTTTGGGCCTTTTGAGGGTTCAGGGCAAATGCAACCTTTACAACTCTTAAGAGATCTTGGGAGCCAAGCTGCCTTCCCCTCACGTAAGTGATCAACCGTGGGGGCAGAGTAATATCTTCAACTTCTGCGGAGGCCGTTCGTGTGGAAGGGAAATGTTCGAGTTTATGGAAACTCACCCTTGCCCCTTCCGGCATGTTGACGGCGTGTGTGCAGGGGTTTGGGCAGAACAATACAACATCTCAATTTTCCGAGTGCTCCCATGCGCGTGAAAGGTCGCATTGGGACTCCGCATGTAGGAATGTACGGTAGCCTGGAGCGCCACAGTGTTTTAGCCGTCAACTGCTCCTATAGTAAAGATCCCCCACGCGCCGCTGTTTAGATGAGGGCCGGCGCTGCACCGGGCTGCCGCCGCGGGCGACCTGGCGGCCCTCAAAGAGCTGCTGGACCAGGGACAGGACAAGGCGCCCATCACGGCGCCTTTCTTTGCATTTTCGGCGCTGGTCAATTTGGGGGTTTCTGGGGAACTTCTTTGGGATTAGGCCAGCTCAGTCTGAGTGAGGCCCTGTTTCCCCTTCGCTTGTTCCAAAAAACTCAGCTAGAAAGGCTGCAGGCTTTATGGGGGGCTTCAGGCCTTGTAAGGTGGCCTCAGCTCAGGAAGGCAAGACTGCTTGGGGGCCTTGGCTTCGGGCCAGATGGTTTCGGGAGCTTGAGGTCATCCTCCCGTTCTGAAGCTTTGCGGGCCGGAAGGTCATGAGCCACGAAGCCGCGAAGGGGTGCAAGTTCCGCGGGGTGCGCGTTCTGCTCAAGCCCCCCGGAGCCAGAACTTTGCAGAACGAGTGCTGCCTACGTGCTGGCAAGTGCGGCCCTCCGCAAAAAGCCCCCCACCCCTTCCCCTAATATTTGGACCCTAAACCCTATAAAGCCTATAACCTAAACCCTAAACCCTCAAACCCCCAACCAAGGACTCTCTGATTACTTTGGGTCCCAGAAGGCGAGAGTGTCTCACATTCAAGAGCAAATAGGACGACAATGGGTTCAGGGTTTAGGGTTTAGGGTTTAGGGTTTAGGGTTTCAGGCGCTCCATGCGAAGTCTCTTTTTGATTTTCCCAAGGGAAAAAACGACCACAGAACTTCGACGCCCTCTGTCTGTGGGATAGCAAGGAAATAGAGGCAACGGAGAGCTTGAAGACCGCACCATCACCACAATCACCAAAAACATGGACTGACGGGTGCCCTCAAAAGTGGGTGCGTCTCCTGCCGCCACACTCGGGAGCCCCACCTGCCAGGAGGCCCGTGGCGAACATGGCAGGGGCCTCGGAGGGGACGGGTGCTGTCAGAGCTTGGAGTTGATGTTGAGAAGTTTGAGCATCCCGCATCCTGCTAGTGCGAGTTCCCATTGCCAGCATGGGGGGAGAGAGAGGCCCCCCGAGTCCGAGGCCGGACGGCACTGATGCTCGCTGCCTATTTTGGCCAGCGAGAAGGCCTGGAAGCGCTCCTGCAAGCGGGAGCGGACAAGGCCCGCGCCGGCGTGCCGGTGTTTGCGCGGGGGGGAAGGGGGGAAGGGGTTGTGGAAGCTGACAGCTTCAGCTGCCGGAGACATTTTCCACGCTCCCTTTCTGCCGGAATCCCGCAACCCCAGCTTGACCGCAGCATAAATGCACCAGTAAGCTGGAAGTGGATGTTGAGTCAGGCCGGGGCGAAACCCTGCAACCCCGGTCCTGCCAGTGCAATCCTCCTGAGAGCATTCTGTGAAATCTGGGCCAGGCAAGCACACACACTTTTTCCATACCAGTTGGACAATTTGGAGAACTTCTCATCGCAAGCAGGGCTGCAGTTTTGCATTTTCGAGCACATCCTTGTCTGTAAAGGACTTGACTTGGCTGGTACAACCCTGAATCGCTTCAAACTGGATTGGGAGCCCCTCATGTTGCGCAGCCACCCGGACCTGGGATATGCCCCCCCAATGACAGACGAAAATGACTGGCCATGCAGTCTCCAGCGGATCCACGTTTGGGGGTTCTGAGACAGGTTTCCATGCATTGCGGAAGGGGCCAGTTGCTCATGAGCCTGGGCCCTCGACTTTCCATAGTCGGAGGATCTGATATATGGGTTGAAGCCCTCGTCTCGAGTCTCTACTCTAGATGCAGAGCACTGGAGGTAGGGGCCCGGCAGGGTTTCAGGTTGGGGCTCTGACTGCTGAAGACCACACAAACGCGACACACTCACCATACCTGGACTGAAGGGTGCCCTCGATCTGGGGTGTTCTTTGAGGCGTCGAAGGATACTGATTCTTGTTAAACGCAAATGAGTGCAGCAACAGTGGGCGCCTTTCCTGCCGCCACACTCGGGAGCCCCACCCGCCAGGAGGCCCGTGACAAGGGGGGCAGGGGGCCTCGGAGGGACGGGTGCTGGCAGAGCTTGGAGTTGATGAGAGTTGAGAAGCTGAGAAGGCTGTAGCATCCGATCCCCATTGCCTCCATGGGCGTCTTGAAGGCTGCCTGGGGAGTCCGCCGCCTCTGTCCATGGGCGAAGGTGTAGAGAGAGACGCCCCCGAGTCCGAGGCCAGACGGCGCTGATGTTCGCTGCCCAAGAAGGCGAGCGAGACTGCCTGGAAGCGCTCCTGCAAGCGGGAGCGGACAAGGCCCTTTCCACTCTCCCTTCTGCCGGAATCCCGCAACCCCACCCTGACCGCAGCATAAATGCACCAGTAAGTTGGAAGTGGATGTTGTCGAAACCCTGCAACCCCGGTCCTGCCAGTGCAATCCTCCTGAGAGCATTCTGTGAAATCTGGGCCAGGCAAGCACACACACTTTTTCCATACCAGTTGGACAATTTGGAGAACTTCTCATCGCAAGCAGGGCTGCAGTTTTGCATTTTCGAGCACATCCTTGTCTGTAAAGGACTTGACTTGGCTGGTACAACCCTGAATCGCTTCAAACTGGATTGGGAGCCCCTCATGTTGCGCAGCCACCCGGACCTGGGATATGCCCCCCCAATGACAGACGAAAATGACTGGCCATGCAGTCTCCAGCGGATCCACGTTTGGGGGTTCTGAGACAGGTTTCCATGCATTGCGGAAGGGGCCAGTTGCTCATGAGCCTGGGCCCTCGACTTTCCATAGTCGGAGGATCTGATATATGGGTTGAAGCCCTCGTCTCGAGTCTCTACTCTAGATGCAGAGCACTGGAGGTAGGGGCCCGGCAGGGTTTCAGGTTGGGGCTCTGACTGCTGAAGACCACACAAACGCGACACACTCACCATACCTGGACTGAAGGGTGCCCTCGATCTGGGGTGTTCTTTGAGGCGTCGAAGGATACTGATTCTTGTTAAACGCAAATGAGTGCAGCAACAGTGGGCGCCTTTCCTGCCGCCACACTCGGGAGCCCCACCCGCCAGGAGGCCCGTGACAAGGGGGGCAGGGGGCCTCGGAGGGACGGGTGCTGGCAGAGCTTGGAGTTGATGAGAGTTGAGAAGCTGAGAAGTTGTACCAAGTTGGAGAGACTCAGAGAAGGCATGAGAAGGCTGTAGCATCCGATCCCCATTGCCTCCATGGGGGTCTTGAAGGCTGCCTGGGGAGTCCGACGCCTCTGTCACGTGGGCGAAGGTGTAGAGAGAGAGGCCCGCCGAGTCCGAGGCTGGACGGCGCTGATGCTCGCTGCCAAATTTCGCCAGCGAGACTGCCTGGAAGCGCTCCTGCAAGCGGGAGCGGACAAGGCCCGCGCCGGCTTGCCGGTGTTTGCACGACTCTAAGGGGGCTGAGGGGGGTCCGTGGCTGCCCCAAAATTGCGCAAAATTAACACCACCAAAATGGGTGGGGTCTGCGGCACTGCCGTCCAGCCTATGGGTCTACGCACAGGGCTAGTTCGATTAGCGCGGAATAAATCCCGTGTTACACAGTTTCGCGACAGGGTCAGCCATGTCGTCGTTGTGTTCGAGTAGTGCTAGACCCCCAACCAGAAGTCATACACCCGACGCCGCGGGATCCTCCTTTCGTGGTTGACAGTGTTTCTGCATGCGTGGTCGAGGGCATTACACCATGAGGGCTCTCCCATTGAGCCGAGGAGAGGCGCGTTGGGTTGGGTGGGGCGGCGGATGGTGGATGGAGGGGGGGCAAGTGGCATGCCATGGGGCGGACACAGAAAACCCTTCGAAATTTCAGTGACGTCGACCCTCCGGGGTCGGCAGATATAGGATCCAAGCCCTCCCCTTGCTCTCGGCCCCCCTGCTGCCCTCCCAAAAGGAAGCGAAGAACAACGGCGGCCGGAGCCTGGGAGTCACTTCTACGGCTTGCGCGGTAGAGAGAGGCAAGTTTGGGCCGCTCCTCGAACTCCCAGCAAGACTAGGTGGCCCCCACAGGTTTTGGAGCTCTTGCTGTCCGCGCCCTCTAAAAGCTCTTAAGGCAAGACGGCGCTGGATGTGGCGCGGAACGAGGCGGAGTCGATTTTTGGATTGGGGGAGAGCCGGGGCTTCCTCTGCATGGCGGTTTCGGGTTTAGGGTTCAGGGTGTAGGTTTCAGGGTTTAGGGAGCATTTTGCATGTTCTTGACTTATTCTCAGGAACCCCGACAGCTAGGAACCACTTTTCCCCTCTGGGTCCTGTTGCGATGCCATGTGCAACCGGACCTTTCCCTTGTGGCATCTATCTTGATTCTAGGAACATCGAGCAGCCCTTATGATCCACAAGGAAGGCCGCCCTAAATCATGAACCCTAAATCCATCTAAGTCCCAGCTCAACCCAAAGCCCTTTATCCTGATCCCCACCAGTCTCCATAGTCTCCGGCAACAAAGCCAGGAGTGCAAGCAGATCCTGAGCCCCAGCCTTGGTTGCGTCGCGCTTCTGTTGTGGCCTCTTTGGGGGCTGGTTTTGGCCTTCCGAGGGTTCAGCGCCGGGTCCGCTTTTTTGCGGGGGTTTGCAAGCCAGAAAAGGGGCAAATACAACCCTCACAACTCTCGGGAGCCAAGCTACCTCCCCCTCACTCAAGTGATCTCAAGTGGGCGCAGAGTTCTTTTTGCAACTTACGGGGAGGTAGTTCGTGGGGAAGGAGCAAGATCCCAATTTCCCGAGCTCTCGCATGTGCGTGAAGGGCTTTGCCTATAGTTCTTGCATCATGTGCCGTCAGCTCCGAGCGCCCTTGAAGCCTCGCCAGCAGCAGAATGAGAAGGCAGCCAAAAGCCCACCCCATACTACACCCCGTGTTTTGTCCTGTCCTGTCTCAGCATAAACGTGGCTCCTTTGCATGCGAGAAAGGGTATAAGAGCGCGACTGTTGCGCATGAGGCGCCTGACGGACGCCTCGCGCCTGCGGTGGAGCCAGGCGTGCTGAGGGATTCTCCTGGGCTCTGCCCTTAGAATCCGACTGCGGTGCCCGAAAGCGTCAGGTCCCAACGATTTTTGGATATTTTTCGTGTCAAGGTGCCGCAGGGCGGGTTGAGGTCGAAGCCTCTATGCTCAGCACTTGCATAGGCCTGCGTCCAAAGCGAAAACAACTTCCGTGACCCTTCGTCCCGACAGAGCCCCGCGTCCTCAGCCCCTGAGCCACCCGGAGCTCCACGGCTCCGAAGCTTCCGTTGAGGGGCACTTTGCCCAAGCTCTCTCAGCCAAGTTGCAAGAGGGGAGGGGAGTGCGGAATGCTCCAAGAAAGCCGCCACTCGGCAGCAACCAAAACGATCCTTAAAGCCTTGATCCTGAGTCCTGGGTGTACATGTTTCCCCCGAGTTGGATGGGCTTAGAGGGGAGAATGCATTCCGCGAAGGGAGCATGGTGTTGTGATGCGCCGGTTTGCTGACTGCACAGGCAGCGGGCGCGAGTGGCCACACTGTAAACCTCTCACGTTTAATTCGACCCATAAACCTGTTCAGTTGTTCAGAGCCGCCAACCTAGCAGGCACAAGGGAGGCCCTACATGCTACGCAAAGACAACTACAACTAGCGTTGTGCTGATCTTCCTCCATCTGCTGCTGCTGCTGCTGCTGCTGCTGCCGCCTGCTACTGTAGCAGGAACAAGATAGCTTAACGCGTGCAGGCGGCTGGGCCGATTGACCGACTGACTTCATGGCAGAGACGATCGCAGTGGGACGGTCAAAAATGTATATCTGCACAGCTCTCGCACGTATCACAGCGAGAATGTGGCGACTATTTTATGGTGTTTGGAGTGCGCTTCCGCTGGCGCGAGGATGGGATCAGAGTTTCTTTGCTGAGCACAGCAATTACACAAGCATCCTGTCCAGGCGCTTGCTGGAAGAATTCTTTGGGGCTTCATTCGGAGGAAAACCTCCGGAAAAGGATGCCCGAGCACGCGCAAATAAGCCGTGCCTAGTAAGTACTCGAGTGCGCACCGAAGCACGGGGCACTGTTGGGTGCCCTTCGCCTCGGCAAGTTTACTACTATTTTCCGGGGTCGTTGCTCAGCCTGGGCAAAACTCCCTCCAAGAGGGTTTTTGCCAAGGCTGCGCGATGCAAATGGTAGGAAGGCAGCTGGAACTGACCAGGTTGCAAAGGCAACTCCTGCACTGCTTTATGGTTGGAAGATGTGGTCATTATGGGTGAGACGAGTTCTCCGCATGAACCCTGCCTTGCGCTTAGAGGCGGCATCTTCCTCCGGAGGAGGTGTGTCCCACCTGGGCAGGCTCCGACAACTGCAAAACCCCAAGTTGAGTTTCGGCGCTTGTCAGCCAGTCAGAAAAGGTTCATTACGCGACGTAGGTTCATGCTGGTTAGAGAGAACTGTCTCTATTTGATTCATGATTTGGTGACTGGTGTAAGGGCAAAAATGCATGGAGCCCTTTGTGACATGATCGCGGGCAGCTCCCTTCATGCAGCCGTTCGCAGTTCAATTAAAACAACACCCATTGAACTCGGCCAATCACCCGAATCCCGAACATTGGATCTTGTGACATGGTGTACCTCTAAACCCTAAACCCTAAACCCTAATCCCTAAGCCCTAAGCCCCAACCCTAAACCCTTATCCTTCAACCCTAAACAACCCTGAAGCTTGATCCTCAGACTGCGTGGGCCACGGGTCAGTCG